AGAATTGTTTTATTATGTTTTATTTTTATTATTTTATTACTTCCCTTCTACGTGACTTTACCGAAAGAACCAAGAAGATGAATCCCTGCAGTCACGAAAGCTTTAAATCGAAAAAAAAAGGGAAGAGCCTGGGTTTTGGTTTTGACCCCAGGAGACCTGCGATGCCAGTGAGGTCAATCCCCAATGCCAGATCACATCGACAGCCCACGCGGAATGGTCCCAGCGACGGCACGGAAGCCGTGTCATCAGCAGTCAACGGCGGCGGCGTGGAGATCGCCAACGGATGCGTCACGCTCCCCGCTACGGTCCACCCAGTGTGGTGAACAGTGACCCTTACTCTGACCTGCCGACCCCAACACTAACCCGCTAAACCTCACTCAAAGTCCTCACCCCGACCAGACAATTCACCCCGGCCCTTCGCCTCGCCCCTTGACCCCCATTTAAAACAGTGCAGTGGAGAGCACCCGCAGTGTCACGTGATGGAGCCGTGACGCGCGATGATTGTGATGGAGGTCAGGATCTCGTGATGATGACGACGATAAGAATGAGATGATTAGAATGCATAAAAATGTTATTCGGAGTAGAATTGTGTCGTGATGATAATGATTGGTTGATGAGAATCAGATGATGATTAGAATTTGATGAGTAGGATTTGATGATGCTTGCAATGAGATATCGATGATTCGGATTTGGTGATCGTCATTAAAAACATCTCCCCCCCTTCCTCCACTCCATCCCTCGACCCAACTCATGCCCCCCCCCCCCGCTCGCCATCTCCCGTTCCCCCGCCCCCCGCCCCTCCCCGGCTCCCCGTGTTTATACAGGTGGGCCCGTCCGGCGCCACGTGTCTGACCACGAACGCATTCCCGGGCCCCCAGTTTGGGGGCTCGGGAGGGAGGAGTTGGGGGGGGGGAAGAGGAGAGGAGTAGATGGGGCGAGCGGGGAGACACACATCCCTCGACTGGCATCGTTATGACCATCATTAGCGTTTGATGTCGCCGTGGTGGTTGCTGTTGTTGTGGTGGTGGTTGTGGTTGTTGTTGGAGCCACGGCCGCTTATTACGTGACTCACATTCCTGGGGCTTGGGTCGCGGGGCCACGGAGTTTAAATCAACTTCATCATCAAAAAAACCCAGGGTGGCGCCAGCTCTCCCATCAACCCAGCTCCCCCATCAACCCAGCTCTCCCATCAACCCAGCTCCCCCATCAACCCAGCTCTCCCATCAACCCAGCTCCCCCATCAACCCAGCTCGCCCATCAACCCAGCTCTCCCATCAACCCAGCTCCCCCATCAACCCAGCTCGCCCATCAACCCAGCTCGCCCATCAACCCAGCTCCCCCATCAACCCAGCTCTCCCATCAACCCAGCTCCCCCCATCAACCCAGCTCTCCCATCAACCCAGCTCTCCCATCAACCCAGCTCTCCCATCAACCCAGCTCCCCCATCAACCCAGCTCTCCCATCAACCCAGCTCCCCCATCAACCCAGCTCCCCCCATCAACCCAGCTCTCCCATCAACCCAGCTCTCCCATCAACCCAGCTCTCCCATCAACCCAGCTCCCCCATCAACCCAGCTCTCCCATCAACCCAGCTCTCCCATCAACCCAGCTCCCCCCATCAACCCAGCTCTCCCATCAACCCAGCTCTCCCATCAACCCAGCTCGCCCATCAACCAGCTCCCCCATCAACCCAGCTCTCCCACCGTCCCAGCCCTCCCATCATCCCAACTATTCTATCTACCCAGCTCTCCCATCAATACATCTCTCACAAGTAATTAACACAGTATTCGATGCCTTTTACTCCCCAAAACTTGGCAGGACCCTCCTGCAAAAACAGTCACGAGACTCGGCGAGGCTTTCCTGGGTAAACATGCGAAATAATACTACTACTGTACTATAGTAACGTTTTCTTTTTCATCTAACCGCTAATGGTGGTGTTGATGGTTTCGCTCCCCCATCCTCGCCGGCCACGCTGTTTGTCGTGCGTAATGAGACGAACTCTGCTTCATTTGCACTGCGAATCCATCACGCGCGCGTGTGAGTACAGCTGCCTCTGGTACTCACCCACACACACCCACCCAACCAAACCCTCCCCCCACATCCGCGCACACCCAACCAGACGCACCCACCCACCCACCCAAACAACCACACACACGCACCCATACACCCAACCATGCTTCGAACCAAGCAGTTACTGACCCAACCACAAACACGTTCACACGTCCACCCAATCACGCACATACCCACGGATACGCCCATGAATAGCTTCCACCCGTCTGCGCACTCACCCAGCCATCTACCCACTTAGCACGGACGCACAATTGCCCGTGTATGTATATTGGATATTCACGGTCTCATATACCGCCCAGCCACACAGCACTTCCCCATTCAACAACACCACACATTCAACGACCACTCACCCACCTACTAATACAACTCCACTCCTTACACACATATCTACCCGACCACTCACCCATAAACTTACATAATCACGTACCCATGCGTGCACGAGTCTACTCACGCACGCGCCCTCCCGCGCACACCCTCCAACTTTCTCACACACACACACGCCCCCATGCACGCAAGTCCACCCCGTACCCACCCACCTACGAAATATGGCTCCATCGTTTGATCGACCGAAATAAATGTAGCTCGCGTTAGACGCATCGAATCGCTCTCACCCACGCAACCACACACGGACTTATCCACGCAACCACACTCACCCAACCACCCACAGACTCACCCACCCACACTCACCCAACCACCCACACTCACCCACTCACCTACTCACTCACCCATCCACCCACCGACTCACCCAAATACCGTATTTTCAACTAGTAAATGTTCATTGTATTTTTTATAAAAATGTTAATTAACTTTGCACCACCAGATTTAACACGCAACACAAAGCTGGTATATTCACAATAATGCATAATTGATTATGCATATGAAGGATGTACATTGCTCTACAGATTGATATCGATTATTAAGATCGCCGGACGTGAATTGAATCGTGGTCCCTCTCGGCACTAGATGCCGCTATGTTCACCACGTCGAACAATTTAGTTTTTAACTGAATTGTAACAACTAATATAATCCCGAAGGGAAGGAATCATTGCACCACAAATACGAATTAATCACAGGCCCCCTGGGTGGCTCCCCCTGGTCAGTCCACGTGGGTTCCCCTAACCACTCCACGTGGATCCCCTTGGCCACTTCACGTGGATATCTTTACGACTCCGCTTGGGTCCCGTCAGCCACTCCACGAGGGTCCCCTTAGCTCCTCAACGTGACACCCCCTTAGCTACTATAGATTGGCTCCATTGACCGGAGGGGTTAGTGGGGGGAGTGGGTATCCGGGTCCCCTTACCCCGCCCTCCCTTGGCTCCCATCCCCCCCCCTACACCGGCGCCTCCTCGGCGTCTGAAAGTTTTTAACCTCAAAGCCGCTGCGGTTTTTTCCGTAAAAATAAAAATTATAAATAAGATTATTTATAGCGCGACCACAAACCCACCACGCGCTCAGCTCACACACCGTTGACACAGCAGGCGTCTTACACGAAGATCCCCCGTGTAGCCTCTAACGGATTCGTTGGGGCAAGTGCTGTTAGAGCACCGATTAAGGCCGGAACAGCACCATCTTATCCATATACACACGCGTGTGTATATATGCAAGTTGTGCTAAACCTGGAATGCCAAGTGTGATTCCTGGTCACTGCTAACATCAGTGATGAGGACTTCACTTCACGCAGAACATGTTACGGTGCACTGGGAGACTGGTAGCAACGTGAACAGTGGTAGCCGCAGCCATGACGAGAGGTACATAAGGCTGCCAGGAGGCGATCCGGCGCTATCAACAATAGTTCTATATTTACTATGATGTTTTCAGTCAATCAATACGCGTTTATACACGTCCGAAGAAACCGGAGCATGCAAAGAACACATTCCTGCGGAGGGAGCTGGTAGGAACGTTGGGTTGCTCGGTCAATGGCCAGGGTCAACGGCGGCGTGGTGTATTCCGCAAATATGCCCGACTGTGAGGGCGGGCACAAGCCGGCGTGAGTAGGTTAAAGGTTGAGTTTTATAAGGGCACCACGGGGTGGCCATCCTCTCCCCACCCAGCCCCACCCCTCCCATTTTTGGATTCACGACGGACACAAGAATCCCGTGGGCTGGTGTAACTAGGTTCCTACCAGTAAAACCCAAGCATGTGTGAGGGTGGCAATTTGCTCCCGTGCGTTCAGCTGGCAAGCCACGGTATTGCACCTCGATATCCATGGGGAGTCTCTCAATGCCGAAGTGAGGGCGTGAGGCCCTGATGGCGAGTAACATCTGAAACCGCCCTTAGCACACCACACCCGCAATCCCCACAGCACACACCAACCCCTACTGACCAGTGTGGTGAAGTATGATCAAACAACCTCACCCCACCCCCCCTCAAAGTTGACACGATGGAGGGGGGGTTCATTTAGCAGTGGGTTGACGAAGAGGCTGTAATTATCAGACGTTTGGACGGCGTTGCCTGCATAAGATCCTTGCCAGTGAATTCCTGGGAGCGAACTAGCAAATGAAAGTGGACAAGAAGTTGGTGAGCGAGAACGAGAGATGGGGGGTGTGATTATCGACACAATCATTCGGATATCTGCTCACGATGGATACCACAAACAGGTTTCCTGATACAATAAAAGAGACAAATGGAATAGGTAAACGATGAAGCCCTGAATAAGATGAAAATACACAGAATATAGATTCGGCATAATGTAAACTAACAATAACCACCGCAGAGAAGACAGGTGCAGATGAGAAGTCGAAGGACCAGATTGGACGGCACAGCAGAGACACGGAATGATGGGATCTAACAATACCTGAAGAAAACGCGCCATAGGTCGGTAGGGGTGGAGGGAAGCGGCGTCGACAGAAAGTGTCAACAGCACTCCGGTGCATATCAAGCAGCTGCTCTTCCCAGACCCAGCGTGCCGGAAAAAACACAGGAGTGAAGATATCGCTTTACAGCTCAAGTTTATTCGTAACAACAATAATGTTCCACTTGGGTCCGACGGCTCGGTCCACCACGGTCAAAAGTCCAGGAGCTGTGGAGCGCAAACAGGTTAAGCGAATGACAGCTAACGAGACACAGCGCTCTCCCTCAATCGGTTCATCAAGGAAAAGATTGAAACGGCAGATATCACACAAAATTACTGGTGGTACACCCCGAGATCACATCGGCAGCTATCTGAAACGCTTTTCCTTCCAATATTAGGAACCCACTGGAGCAATGTACTTTAAAATCTAGATTGAAAAGTAATTTCTTTAGAACTGCTTTTTGTGTATAGTTTGTTGTCCTTCCCCCGTACCTCCGATTAACATGGTTGGCTACGTACAGCGCGAAAGAAGTTCAACATACATCAGAAAGCTGTACAGCACAACCGTGAAAACCCACGTGGGAACAAACAGGTCACCAGTGGTGCAGCGTTGTTGGGCATGGACCCCTCTGATAGTGATAGTGCAGGTGGGGTGGTTGTGATAGTGTAGGTGGTGAAGATGATAGTGGTGGTGCTGATGGTTGTGGTTAAAGCGACGTTGCATGTGGTGGTCGGAGTCGTAGTGGCGATGGAGATTGTGGTGGTGGCGCATGTGTTGGTATTTGTATGGGTGATGGTGATGGGATTGCTGGAGTCACGCACCAACTGAGGCAGCACTTTCTCCAGGTGTGCCACGTCCACCACGTCCACCGCCTCGCTCTCTGCCTGCCTGCCCGCTCGCATGGCCGCCTCTGTCCGGGGTTGACAGGGCAGTGGGGGCCACATTGGTTACGAGTGGGGTTGCCACTTTGTCCCGATTTTCGCAGGATCATCTTTTTGAGGAAGCTGTTAGTTTGGGAAATGTGTTAAGTCTTCCCGGAACTTTAAAAGTCCCAATTTTTTTTTGTCAGTCACTTGGCCTGTGTCCAGCAAGCAGTATCAATGCATACACCACAATCTGTCGATCAGCAGGTCGCATGCGGTGGGGTAAAGTGCGAGTACACCCATCTCTCTCCCAACACGCCCGGTGAACGTGGAAGAGTAGACCAAATGCCCTCAAGAGTTCACTCTCTCGAGGAGGCCCTTCTGCCAGCAGGGTCGCACCTCTACAAATCTTCTTGGTTCTTTCGGTAAAGTCACGTAGAAGGGAAGGGAAATAATAAAAATAAAACATAAGCTTTACATCGAAACTCTACAAATCTGTTTTATATACTGGCTTGGGAAGAGACTACGGGAGGGAATACCAAGGTGTGGATGGGTAACCCAGCTCCCGCCTCACCGGTGACAAACAGGCGGAGGAGGCTGGTCATGAGCTTCAGGGCGTCCGCGTTCACTGCAAGGGAGACGACCGTGAGCAAAGCGGCTTCGAGGATGACAGCAACAACAGCAGCAGCTCTTACCTTCAACCGGTTTTATAAGGCTTTACTGTAAACGATGAGAAACTCATCGGAGAGAAACGTCTCGATGCCAGCTCATACGGGTGCCGAGGCATTGCTGCTCATCTCGCTCCTTCACAGCCCTGAGGCAATGGAGGAACTTTCACAATCCTATGGCGGGAGCGGGTCCATCCATAGGGAAACCACTGTCGACTTTCATACGGAGTTGTATTCATGTGACAGGATAGTGTACAGGCTGTAAACAAGAGGAATGACACTTATGATTTCTTGACGGCAAAATGTGAGGTGTTGACCGTTGGATTGGTCCTCCCATCATGCCTCGCGTGTCATGTGACATCACGTTGTGTGTATAATGCACAGCCTTGTTTTAGACTGCGAAGAGTCAAAATTACGGACATTTATTGTAAAAAATTATGCCTATACTGTGCCGACAAGTATAGTTGTCTCATTGTCCTGTCACTCTCGGAAGGGAATTGCAAATTATTTTTTATTATTATTATGGGCAGCCATTGCCTGGCATTCGAGTGTCGTTAGAAATGCCATCACTGGTGGAGTTGTTGAGACGTTCACACCTTTGGTCTTTTCATCCTTGAAGTGTAGCGCCAGCAGCTTCCCAACCGTTTCCTGCAATCATAGAACACAAAACTTTAGATAACCATAACAATTTAAATTTATATAGCAGTTTTATTAGTTCAGCCTTCGACTAAAGCATTCCGAAAGGTGTCCAATCTCGTGAGACCTCTAAGGCTAAGATGGGCTGAGCTTGGATGGTGCTCAGATCGGTGACAACGATGATACACCAACTGGTTGTCATAGCACTTGGGGAGCTTCGTGGTTATATAGCAGAGGGCAGTTATAGTAATACTCTTTGGTTTTTTCGGTAAAGTAACGTAGTTAAAATTTTTAATTAAATACATGAAAACTAAATTTAATCACGTTTCGGGCGAAACACAAGCGTCCTTCTTCAGGTGGGGACAACGTAGCGAAAGCACAAGACACACTTAAGCGGTTGTGCTTTAACTAAGTTGTCCCTACCTGAAGGACGCTTGTGTTGCGCCCGAAACGTCGTGATTTAATCTAGTTGTTTCCATTTATTTAATTACTTTTTTTACCTGCGTGACTTTACCGAAAAAACCAAAGAGTATGAATCCTTGCAGTCACGAAAGCTTCACATCTAGAAGTTATAGTGTTATCTATTGTTATACCCCAGGCTCACACGTTTCCTGTCTTCAACAACCCCTACTCACGGGTGTGGTGAAGGTCAAGTCTGGCATGGGAAGGCCCTCACATCCAGCAATGGCCGACATCGCAGTTGACGTCGGCCGCGGCCAGGAACCAAATTCAGGTGGCAGAGTTCGGAGAACAGCGCATCAACCACTTTGCCATCACTCCATCCATAGCACACCCCGTAGCCAACTCAAAAGCGAATTGCTATAATCCACTGCCCACACAGCTTGCCAGTTCCCGGATCTGTCCAACCTCTGGGAGATTGACCCTAAAGCTTTCAACAACAGTTTTGTTGTTGTACAGGTAGTCCCCGAGTTACGATGGTCCGACTTACGATATTTCGATCTTACGATGGTGATAGCGATACGACAAAATTGCAATAAACAACCTAACATCGTTCAAGTATGCAGACGGACAGAATCTTGGTGAGTACAGTACTATATGATACGTTACGATACGTTCAATTCATGTATGATACGTAGCTTTAACGATTTCATTTTAAGGTTACCACGATACGATACGTTCAATGCATGTTAAAAGTTTTATAGCAGATAGGATTGTTTTCTGAATTTTTTTAAATATTAAATTGCAGTTCATATAGGTAGGCTAATAATTGACCTTGTTTTTTTTACTTTACATTTTACTGTGCAATACAGTATTGTAATTAATAAACACATACGGTATATAGTTTATACAGTACGGTACTGTAAATTGCTCTGTTTTGTTAAATTATCACCATTCTTTAAGACTTCTGGGTAGGCTAGGCCATCTTCGACTTACGATGGGGTCGTCGTAACGCATCTTCATCGTAAGTAGAGGACTACCTGTATTTGTTTTATGCACCCATGCTGCTGTTGCCACGAGCGCTACCGGCATGCCGGTTTGTTCGCCACGTTGCATTCACGACCCCTGGCGGACACGTAGCCAACCTGCCCTCCCACACACGAGCGGCGACACTGCCCGGGACACATGGCAAGTAGTAACCACAGGCAATGCCGTGGGGTTTGTACTCATCCCGTCAGCCACACGGCCTCTTGTGAGTCGTAGACTTTCGGCGGAATTGGTCCAACACGAGAGAAACTCCCAAGTTCGAACCAATGCTGCCGGTGTGAACTGTCCAGATGGTTTAGAGGCGAGCACCACCACCACCACCATCTCTGTTAGATATGGGTCCCGATTCACACGCAAAGCAATTGAATGCATCGGGGCCGTCCATAAATGACGTCACGCGATTTTGGACGATTTTTGACCCCCCCCCCCCCCAAATATGACGTCACAAAGCTCTGCCCCCCCCCCCCCCCCAAAAAAAAATGCTTCAAATCGCTTTAAACTATTGTCATTGTAGTGCGTATTTAATGTGGCGCTGCACTGTGATTTTGTAGGAGAAAACATTTATAAAAAAAGTTTAATTAAGTAGAACGTGTTGTCTATATTTATTTAAAGTTGCGCATTTTGATGTGACGTCACATTTCTCAAACCCCGCCACCCCCCCTCGTCACAAACGTCTGACACCCCCCCCCCCCCATAGGTGCGTGACGTCATTTATGGACGGCCCCATAACACAATACGTTCTGGCGAGGGCTAAAAATGATTGTGTGTACATTCGTTAAATCGGCGCGGTGTGTCCAGCAGCGTCGACGGTCAACACACAAACCCCTCGCCACTATCAGGCGCGTGCGGTGCGCACGAGATGGGGGGGTGGGTGGTCGTCACTAACAACGCGGACACATCTTCTTGGTTCTTTCGGTAAAGTCATCACGTAGAAGGGAAGTAATAAAATAATAAAAATAAAACATAATAAAATAATTCTCACGACGTTTCGGCCACAACGCAAGCAGCCGTCCTCAGGTGAAAACCAGGTCCGTCGAGGCGACAGAGTCTGAATGAAACAGCACACGAACTTTTTTAAATCCTTTATATTAAGCTTGCTTGCATGCTTAGGACCGTGCAAATCTTTCGGTCGTTATTTAACCCACTTCCCGTGATCCAATCGAGCTGACATTTTCCACACAGACTCGTTGTGCGAGACAATTAATTTTCGTGAAAAAAAACTTTCCAAAATTTTACACTTTTTAGGGAAATAAATTATATTTAATTACCAATTGTTTAATACTGCAGACAATCATCTGACCCATAGGTGGCAGCCATCTCAAGCCAGAGGACGAGAGGACTCTAGCCGCCACGCATATAAAGGATTTATAGTGAAAAACTTTGTTTTTACGGGTTAATTTTTTTCATTCAGACTCTGTCGCCTCGACGGACCTGGTTTTCACCTGAGGACGGCTGCTTGCGTTGTGGCCGAAACGTCGTGAGAATTATTTTATTATTATTTTATTACTTCCCTTCTACGTGATGACTTTACCGAAAGAACCGAGAAGATGAATCCCTGCAGTCACGAAAGAAGCTTTAAATCGAAATTTAACGCGGACACAGGCGGGTGGAGTATCGTGAGGACTGATGGAGGCCGAGACTCTGAGGGCAACATCCACTGCCCCTCGGGCTCCGTGCTGTGGATGCACCTGCACTCCACTGCTGGATGAGAACCACGCACTTTGACCATACTTCACCACGCCAGTCAGTGCGGTTTGGCGGTGGGGGGCAGCAGAGTTTGCTGGGCTGTCCTCTGCTACCCGCAACGCAGCAAGTCTATAGCACCTGCTATGCACGATGTCGCCGCCCATCAAAGCCCTAACCAGGCTCAACCCGACGAGATCTGACGCACGACGGGTTATTCTCTCAGTGAGCCGGCTCCCGACTGCGGTTGATAATAAGTTTGTGCAAACACGACGTTAAAAACAACAATAAACTTAATGAGTTGTGAGGAGACGCGGCCGCTCGTTCCTCACCCGTTTGAAGTGGGCGCGCCATTGCTGATCCATGGCGACGCGAGGCGGGAAAACCACGGCGGGTTTCCACGCCCCTTTTATGGGCGTGGCCGTTGAAGCTCCTCCCCCTTTTGTAGGCGTTGTCATAGCGACACCCCGCCTCCTTTGAAGGTGGTGGCCATCGACGTGTCCCGCTCCTTTTATGGGCGTGGCCGTTGAAGCTCCTCCCACTTTTGTAGGCGTTGTCATAGCGACACCGTCGCCTCCTTTGAAGGTGGTGCCCATCGACGTGTCCCGCTCCTTTTATGGGCGTGGCCGTTGAAGCTCCTCCCCCTTTTGTAGGCGTTGTCATAGCGACACCCCGCCTCCTTTTAAGGTGGTGCCCATCGATGTGTCCCGCTCCTTTTATGGGCGTGGCCGTTGAGGCTCCTCCCACTTTTGTAGGCGTTGTCATAGCGACACCCCGCCTCCTTTGAAGGTGGTGTGCATCGACGTGTCCCGCTCCTTTTATGGGCGTCGTCGTGTGGGCGTGGTCATGACGTAGGACCGCCCCGTTGTGGGCGTTGTCTTCCGGAGCCACGCCCATTTCAAGTCTATATTCAATCTGTATTCTTAGGTTTTTTCGGTAAAGTCACGTAGGTAAAACATCAAAATTAATAAAAATAAAATAAGATCAGGACGTTTCGGAGGCAACAAACGTCGTGATGTTTATTTTATTTTATTTTTTTATTAATTTTGATGTTTTACCTACGTGACTTTACCGAAAAAACCTAAGAATATGAATCCTTGCAGTCACGAAAGCTTCAAATCTAGAATTAATGCCATTCAATCTGATTTAAATACATTAAATTAGCTTTATATTTTCTTGGTTCTTTGGTTCTTACGTGACTTTACCGAAAGAACCAAGAAGATGAATCCCTGCAGTCACGAAAGCTTTAAATCGAAATGTAGCTTTATATTCTTAGGTTTTTTCGGTAAAGTCACACGTAGGTAAACATTTTTAAAATTAATAAAAGTAAAATAAAAATAAATAAAAATAACGACGTTTCGGAGGCAACACAAGCTTCCGTCTTCAGGTAATTTAATTTTAATTTTTTTTTTACCTACGTGACTTTACCGAAAAAACCTAAGAATATGAATCCTTGCAGTCACGAAAGCTTCAAATCTAGAATTCAATTAGCTCTTTAAATAATAGTGACCACGGGGAGAGAGAGAGAGACACGCAAACTCCAAATATACAGCATTTAAAATGGTACCGACGCGGGCGATTGCCAATATAAAAACACGCAGGTGAAGAGAGAGATCATCTTTCGTGAAATCTTTCATTTAAAAAAAAGGGGGAGGGGGGGGCACATAAAGCAAAGCATTGAAGAAAAAAACGAAATGATGAACGAAGCAAAGTGCCGTCTACACCAAGCATCTTCTTGTTTCCTCTGGCGGGGGGGCGGGAGGCACCGTTTGTGACACATTTGCGAGACTTTGCAGATCTTCTGTCCTATGGTTTTCTACAGGATAAGAGACCTATTGCAGGGGAGCAGCAAGTTGTTCAAATGTTTATATCAAAGTTCTGTAGCCAATCCAAGGCCTCTGGCGGCGAGGTTGTGGATGGCTTCATCATCTCATGCGGCCGATGTGACCGTCCTGTGGCCAGATTGTCCGCGTATCTAAACTTCCGTGATGTTAATTGGTTTTTTACCCTTCTATCTGGCAACAAAACTGACACCTTTTTACAAGGAGTCATGTGTGCATAGACCGAAATATCTGCAGTCATAATACAAACAAAAGACATAACTCTGATAATGTGCACTGTCGTTGAAGTTGATTGGTCCACACCCGAGACAGCTTTTCTTAGAGCCTAGTCTCACATGGGTTGGACCAGATGACGCCAAAAGGTGCACAACTCAAAGACAATGCACCAGTTATGTCTTTTGTTTGTATTATGACTGCAGGTATTGTGGTCTATGCAAACATGACTCCTTGTAAAAGGTGTCAGTTTTGTTGCCAGATAGAAGGGTAAAAAACGAATTCTCATATTTTTACTGGCAAATGAGGTTCCCATGGGTTTCCGTGATGTTGTGTCTGGCATGTCGCCCGCGTCGGGAATCCGGTGGGCAGCTGACGTTTATTCCCAATGTGGATGCGGTGTCTGTTGTTGTATGTACCGTTGAACTTCTTTCATACCGTACGTAGCCAACCGTGTTAATCGGAGGCACGGGGGAAAGACAACTAAACACAAAGCAGTTCTAAAGAAATTAGTTTACAGTTTACATTTAAAAGTGCATTGCTCCAGTGGCTTCCTCCTATCAGAATGTTCCAGACGTGTCTGAAAGCGTGCGATGCAGTGACCGTCTTTGTTCGATGGTTAGCCAAAAAGGCACCACGAGGATGACCGGAGTTTATACGATGGCTTGTGCTACTTGACGAAATCAGCAATGTATCGTGGTTCTTGCCACGAATGTGCGACCTTATAAATGTATTCTAGATTTGAAGTTTCCGTGGTTCTTTCAGTAAAGTCACGTAGGTATAACATTAAATAAATTAAATCACGACGTTTCGGGCGTAACACAAGCAATTGTCTCTGGCTGTGGTTGTCCCCACCTGATGACGGGCGCTTGTGTTGCGCCCGAAACGTCGTGATTTAATTTATTTTATACCTACGTGACTTTACTTATACATTTATCGTTCGGCAACCGAATCCAATGCAGCTCAGCGAGCGCTGGGCGGACATGGTCCGGATCTTGCAGTCCCCGTAAAAAATAATTTTGTACATGCTGCCAGCTTGGGTAAATGTGGCTTTTTGTGCCAGACATTGGTCACGATGGTTTCCCAGCAGGTGCGAGAGAGAGCAGTATGGAACCGACCTTGGCCAGCATGAGGCCGTCTCGCCACACCGGTGCCACATGCCGCCGAGAAGTCAATAAATGCCAGCCCCCCTGTTTTCTGTTTCTTCTCGACTCCCGCCTCAATGTGCTGCGCTTGAGCTGAAGGACGCCTGTTCCCCTTAGATGGCCGCTTCAAAGGAGCGGGGCGAGGTGACCTAACAGCAGTTTGCGGTGCGTTGTAGGTCATTTTTGTAATTTGCCAAATTTGGATGATGCTAGCAAGCAACGCCGTATTCTTCTCAGTGACGCGAGGGGGTCCTTGACATCCACTCTGAAGCATGAGGCGCATGTTTTACGGCGAATACACCCACGGTATTAATCAGGACAGCCCACCAGATTGTAAGTGGACCTCGACAGCGAGCGGTGAACGCACTGCCCTCGGACCACATCACTGCCCAGCCAGACCGCTTATTACACGTGCATTATATCAATATTACGTCTATGTATTTCTTTTTTTCTAGAAGGCAACCAATTAGGGTGCACAGCAAAGCGGCTTGTGGCAGACGATTAGATTTTTGAGGTCCCCGTGGAAAGCTTGAGATACCATCCGGCTTGAAGAAAAGATTGCAATCGACCGGCAAAAAGTCTCTCGGCCGATTATGGCAAGAGTTAAAAACGTGCACTCGTCATTGGCCATCGGAAGAGCCAAGGAATCCTCGAAATCTAATTTTGCTCCAATTAAATTGACGAGCGAGATGACACAACCGCATCTTCACTGCACGCGAGGAGTCTGGAGAAGCAGTGACCGAGGACGGACGGATGAGATGCAGACAAATGGCTCGTATGAGCGGGCGTGGTGCACTGGGAAGAATTTCTACCGAATTTTAATATTCTAGCCAAGAGGTTGCATTGTGGGGGGGGGGGGTGGTAGGAAAATTGGAGAGATCGCAGCCAGTCGAGAAGGAAGCAACAGCAGCGTCGCGGATGCGGAGGAAATTACGAATCGATCGACATTGGGGCGGGGGGGGGGTAAACTGGTGGTGTCGGATCGTGTTCTTTAACAATATCTCTACAATGACACCCTGTCATATTTGCACTTTGTTACCCTATTTGCATTTTTGTAATTTTATATTGCATATTATAGATATTGTATATTGTTTTAATTCAATTATTACATACTTTAGCTCCTTAGTATTAGTTAGACTTTGTACCTTTAGTATAGTTAGACTTGTACACCACTTATTTAAGATTCCTATATGTTGAATGTATGCACCTTCCTGCCGAAGTAAATTCCTTGTCTGTGCGAACTTTTCATGGCGAATAAAACCCTTTCCGATTCAATGGAGCGGAGCCGAATGGTGGTTGCCGTGGTCGTCGTGGGCAGCCGGACGCACGCGCGCGCACACTCACTCGAGGCTCCACACGCGTCGCTCTCTCGGTTTATTGATGCCGCCACCGCCATGGTTCGCCTACAAAAATACAAACTCTCCCGGGGGGGGGGTGGTGGTGGGGGAGAGGAGAGGAGGGGGGGGTTAAGTGCTCGAGTCGCAGGCATCGTGTGGGGTAGCCGCAGCGTCGTTCGCGCTCCCCAGAGCCAAGCGGCGCGTCCACGTGAGGACACCACCGTCGCTCCGGGCCGCCCGCCGCACCGGCCCCCACGGGGAACAATCACACCGATCTCAACCCGAGACGTCACGTGCCCGATACGATTGCTAAACGACGACCCCGCTAGCGATCACTTGTGTGTGTGGAGAGCCGTGCGGCACAGTGCGTGGTTTTGCGGGCAACTAGGACCCCCTGTCCGAGGGAGGTCCTCGCCGATAGACCATCTTGCCTGTTAACCAGCATTGGTTTCGGCAAGCCTGCCTGATAACTCTGCTGATGAGACACCAATATCAAAGCCGTTCCAGGTTAGCTTGTGTAACCAATGCTGATGAAATTATGCACTCCCAGTAGGCCGTTTAGCCGATGGGATTTTTTTAATGTGCAAGGGCAGATATCGGTTAGGAGTTGTCTACTTAACATCAATTAGAACGAGCACCAACGTGGAAAGTGTTCAGCAATCATCAGGCGCAATATATCGCTTGCATCGTCTTGGGTTTGTAATCGAGAAGAGTCTAGTTCGGTGAACGTGGAAACCGGACCGTGATGGGGCACGCAAGGAGTGGGAGTTGGAGGAACCCTGCAGTCGAGCAGGTGAGCGAGAGGACACCTAGCCTGGCACAGGTACCGCACGGCTCCGAGACGGGCGAGTGGGGAGGGAGACGAGGATGACAGATTGTGCAGCATTAATTCATTCGTGAATGAGTCGCACCAGAAACACCTTGCAGAACTCACCCTCCCCATCTTCCCCCCCCCCCCCTCCAACTCACATCCTCATTTTACATTCTTTTGGTCTC